TATTTCGTCATCTAACTGGCACTGTTATTTTCACTCGTTATTTTCAGCTTGGTGGTTCGATAGCTTCAGTAATAATGTTTAAATGCATTTACAAAATCTCTCTCAGGGTTAATCAGCATCTTCCTCCAGGACTTACCCGTGTTTCATTTGGATGCAGATTTCTCGACTGCATTCAGCCAGATCCAATGTGGTGGTGTTCAGCTTCATTATTATCATTTTCCCTTAAGGGTGACTGTGTAGTTTGATTTTTAGTCTCATTTTCGTTAAGTCTGTGTGGTAGTAGAATTGAGCATCCTGCTTTCCCTTTATGCGCTTGTTAGTAGGCGTGAGCGGTGCGAAATTCGCACAGTTGCTATTGATAGACGGTTTATTCATGCTGCTTCCTTGCGATTAGAATCCGAAAATTTCATTTGTGACGAGAGCTTAATGTTTTGCACAGGTACCCATCAGAAGGAGTTCATTGATGTCCTAATGACTTACTTCACGTCCAGACACTTCTCACTAGGCAGCGTGGTCTGTGGATATTTGGTTGCTTCTGTCGCCGATCTCGGTCATTTTCTCAGCCTTCGGCATAAACCCTACGAGCATATGGAGATTCTCGTTGTCGATGTTTTTTATGAAAGATTGTAGTCGCTTATAAGATTGAAGAGTTTCTTCTGGTAGACCCGGGGTCCTTTTGGGATATGGAGATTGAAAAAACGTACACCGCCTCTAATATTGCCACCGCTACTGCTATTTGGACTAATAAAAGAATAATAATAGCGCCAATAACATAGCTAAGGACGATTCTTAGTAATCGTACTTAGCTTGTCTAACATATTTCACCTGGTTTGTTCTTCAGTCAGCTTTTTGATATCTCCCTTGCCGGTAGTTTGCTACACAGAATAGATAAAACTTGTTTAGCGTTAGATTCGTATCGCTTGTTTTTTGTTAATCGTAACCCTCCTTTTTATATCATTTTCAACACTTCCGCACTGTTTTAGAAGTAAGTCCTATAAGCATATTACGCCATAATTATGTTCCTTTATACCTGTCAAAAACTTAAAAAGACAGACTTATTTTTCGTCCTGCTGTTCAGTGGATCTTTAGGGCTACCGAAAAATATCAGTTCCTGCTGCAAATTAACTGTCGCACAGCTTAAAAAATTAGCTATCTAAACTGCCCTCCAACCTCAATGAGTTATTGCGACATCTTTTCGCCGAATTTCTCCAACGCCGGCAGATGTCGCTACCATACCCATATTGCGTTCTTTGTGATGAATTCATCTTGATAAACGATTTTTTAAAGGCTGCAGCAAGAAGAAGGCAAAGCATCAAGCCTCCTACTTGGTGCTGCTTCAACTGCTCGGCACCAGCCCCACAACTCCACACGAAAAGGCTGCTCTTAGGGATCTACGAGTGGCTGCCGCTGCAACACTTGGTATCGACTATGGATGCACACTAGATGGTGATGACGTGGACTTCGCCTTTCGTGCGCCGGCGATTGACCCCAAGGTCAACAGCGTTGGTGAGTTGCAGGAGTACTGCCAGAAGAACATGTGGCCTTCTCCAGTCTACGAGTTCAGTGA